TGGAACAGTTGTTACAATCTTAAGCTCCTACTTCAGCTCTTTAGGAAAGCTTCTCTCAACAACAAAACACACTAAGCCTTATTCCCTATAGATTTAGGGTCGGTAATGTAAATCCTCTTTCACCATCCATATGGTTTATTACTCTACATCTACTGGAAGGTCTAAAAAGCAACTCAAAAGTAACACCTTATTAATAAAAAAAAAAAGCAATGAGAAATGATAAAATACCTTCATCTCGGCGAGTATCTCTGGGGTACTCCTCCCAAATGGAAATATCAGAAAGACAAATCAAAACTTCTGCACATAGCAGCCATTCCACTCATTTAGCTCCTAGAAAATAAAACGGATCAAAAACTTCACTAAAGGCAGAGGAATCACTCTCTCAGTGTTATGTACCTGTTCCCCAAAAACCTCGAACCCACCAAGAAAGAAAAGAAAGATTTGCAAACACAACTCAAAATAGAAGAAAACACGGGCATAAAGTAGAATTTTCATCATTTTTTGAGCATAGCAATGAATCGTTCAGAAATAAACAGAACAGCCATGTAAGCACCCGGCTAGTGGCCAGCAAATCAAACATTTTAGGCCTAGAATCAAGTCAATAGCTCTTCAAATTCAGCTTCAGAAAATCTGTGTTCCTTATTGCTTATGAAACAGAATAGCTGCAGACTGCTCTCCCTTGCTCCACCTGTAGCATGAGATTTACAAGTTATTACTTCTAATCTCATGATGCAGTTGCATGTAGCTAGAGTGCCAAGGATTAATAAATGACATACCGTCATACTTTTAAAATAAATATAGTACAACAACAGATATCTCGTCCTCATTTTTCGTTTTCTTGTGTTAATTCAACTATTACAATTGTTCCATGAAAGAGACTACAAACACAATCAAGATTGAGTGACATCGGTAGTATGCTAAACTATGCCAACTCCAAATAAGCATGGATAAAGCTTTATTCACTTTAGCCCTTGTTTGACTCTCTTTAAATTAAAACTCTTTATTTCTCATACTTATTTTCAACTATACATCCACAGAATAAAATATTTTGCACGTAAACCAAAAACGTTTCCATACTTTTTAACCACACATCATCAAAAAAAAAAATTGTATTTAAAACATCATTTTTCCCAAATTTCTCTTTATAATGGCCATCAAACGGGGGCTTAGTATGATGTTATAAACTCTCTCCAGGTAGGGGAAGGGGAGTACTAAGGTGTATAGAGGCTATTTTCTATACCACAACAGAAACTTCGGTTTGGTACAATAAATGTTCATTTTATTAACCAAAATACATTGTAGATTCCATAAACTTTAGATGAATGCTTATTTGAGAACAAATTCAGTTTTATGTCAGAAAAATATACTGCGAAAGTACTTATGCTCATGATTGACATACATCAGTATTTAATATTTATTGATTCAAAAAAAGAATATGCTAAAAGTTCCAAGGGAAGTAATATAAAGGTGCTAATGAAGAAAATAACTTTTATTAGACACATTAATATTATTCAAGATATGTGAGATAAAGTAGTGACAAATGTGAAATCTACATAATATAGTAGGTTTTCCTGTTAAAATAGTTCATGACATTATATGACACCAAGGTCATGCAATTAAGTCCTTTTCCAGTTTGTTCTTTCACAGTTGTCTATAGCTTACAAAATATCATGTAACACCCAAAAAATTTTCATAGCATTTGTACGTCAAACACTTCCTAGTAAAATAAATGGTGAATAGAACCTGTGTTGTGTAAACCATGCAGGTTACCATTATGTCAATCAACCCTTGTTGAAAATTGGAAATAAATCCATCACAAGGCATAGAAATTATTTTTATTGGGCTAAAATTGGGGGTTACATTTGAGCACATATTTCATAGGTGGACCAAGCCCGATGGCTGTAGACTCATTAAATTTTTTTTTTTTCATTCAGAATCAGCATGTCAGATGACAATGATAAAACCACTAACCGGTTTCTTCTTCTTTTTCAGACCAGCAAATGATGTTTCAAGACCATCAGAAACTACAGAATTCAGTAAACATACACATCATCATAACACAATTGTAGGCCTATGAAAAAGTTGCAGAAAGGGAACAATGTATAAGAAATCATGAAAATTAGATTGTCGAACTAAATTACCGGACAGTCTCAGTTTTCTCAGCCAGATTATCAACAGTATCATCTTCTGTAGGATCTCGAATCACGACCAAGCAAGAACTAAATAAAATGGAACCCTATACACAAAAAAAAAAATTAATAAAAGAAAAAAAAAGCTTAGTTCAAACATGCAAAGCAAGGACATATGTTGAGTAGAATAAAACGGAATACCTTTGCAACTCCATCAACAATTCAATTGAATATGATGCTCGTGACAGAGCTCAGGAATTCAGTCCTGCATCACGTGTTACTGAGCGGAGGTTCATTTTGCAGTCATCTATAATAGAGCGTTCTTGGTGGAAAGATCCAAGTGTTAGTCCATCACCTCCGACAAAAAGAGGTTTGTGCCTATAATCTACCGTTGTCAATTGTTGGTATGAATACGAACTGTGCAAGTAAAAATCAATTTATGTAGATCTCGATTCATGTCGTGTTCAGTCTTGATGATTGATATAAAATGATATAATCAAAGTTCTTCACTATGGATGATTTCGCTAACATAAAGTACTTTTTTCTCTGATTATCTTGTCATTTTGCTTTTAGTAAATCTCAGTCGATTCTCCCTTATCCAAGTCCTACAAATATTTCCTCACATATGCCTTGAGCAAATTTTCCCTATTTTCCTCTTCCTCACAAGATTTTCCTCGTTTTCTTCCTTTTTTTAATTCAAATGAAAATATTTAAAAGTTAGGAAGAAGTGAATGGGGGTAGGGGAGTTTCACGGGTTAGTTAAGGTTTGGAATTGTGATGCTTCTTTTCGTTGTCGTTCCATATAAAGGTTATGTATGTGTCAGATATTTTAACCATCGCACATAATTTAGGATGTTGTCTGAAGTTGGGTTTTAAGGAAAAATATATATTTGAGTAGGTCATTCTAACATTATGCATGTATTTCTTTGCTCGAGGTTTAATAAATTTGGAGAGAAATGATAAAAAGGATAATTCATCTTGCATGTTATTCTTATTCCATATGTTACTGAGTATATTGTGATAGATAATACAATATGGATTCATGAAAATATAAGATAGAATGAGATGCTGATGCTCTTTGATATAAGGCCTCTAAGAGCCATATATGCTAAAAAATAGTGCAGCACTTATGGTTGAATAGCTGCAGCAAGGATTGGACACTTTAAAATATTTTGGAGAGAATTTATTTTTCCTAAACCTAGTATATTTTTTGAACTTTCCACGTACTCCAGTCTCCCACCCTATCAACATTCTGTAAAAATAACAATTTTTTCTTTTAAATAAATTGAAATCATGAGCTAATTTGCTAAATCAGGGGGCCACATTAAAGCAAGTTAAGTAACAATCTACAACAAAGGAAGAACAAGACACATGCCCCATAGCTACAATTGGGGGTTC